TAGTAGTAGTGTTGGGGTTATTATTGTTATTATTATTATTATTACTATTGTTGTTGTTGTTATTATTATTAAATACCCGAGTTTCTATTCTAGAAAGCTAGAAAAACTAACAAACAAAAAAAGACTTGTCACCAAAGACGAATGATATTTCCTCAAGCCGCCCCAAAAATGTGTGAAGCAGCAGATGGAATGTGACATTGTGAAACTGTGCTCCTATTAAAAACACAAGGCTGCTCCTCACAGCATCTCTCGCTCTTGTTTTAATAAAAACCAAAGCTGAAATCCAGCGCCGGCCTGATGGAGGAGCTGCATCATCACAGCAGACAGCAAAGCGTATTCCAGCAAACAAAAACTAAGACTGAAACTATTGGTCAAGAAACATTTTTCATTAACTGAAATAAAATAAGGGCAGCACGGTGGCTCAGTGGTTAGCACTGTGGCCTCACAGCAAGAAGGTTGCTGGTTTGAGCCTCGGCTGGGTCAGTTGACGTTTCTGTGTGGAGTTTGCATGTTCTCCCTGTGTTGGCGTTGGTTTCCTCCGGGTGCTCCGAATATGCTCTGGTTTCCCCCAAAGTCCAAACACATGCGGTGCAGGTGAATTGGGTAGGCTAAAATGTCCGTAGTGTATGTGAGTGAATGAGAGTTTATGGGTGTTTCCCAGTGATTGGTTGCAGCTGGAAGAGCATTCGCTGCGTAAAACATATGCTGGAAAAGTTGGTGATTCATTCCCCTGCGTCAACCCCAGATTAATAAAGGGACTAAGCCGAAAAGAAAATGAATAAACGTATAACAATAATTAATATTTATAATTACTGTGATGGGTGGGTTTAGGATTGGGGTCGGGGTAAACATTAATAAAATACAATTTAATGAGTAATTTAATAAATATTATCAATAATACTCTGTATTAATAGTGTTTTTACATTACTGTAATGGTTGGGTTTAGGGTTTGGGTAGGGGTAGACGTTAATAAAATGCAATTATTGGGAAATTTATTAAATAATATATCTGATTTAGCAACAACCATTCGAAAGCATGCACACTCCTCTGTCACACACTCAAAAGTATGCACTTTTTCTTTACAAAATAAAAACTTATTTTGCCATAGACTTTTCTACTCTGCTATCCTCAGGCAGATGGTTCCGTAGCATCTGGTCACGCACCAGCCGACTGAAGGAAAGCTTCTTCCCTCAGACTATCAGGCTGATGAACACTTAAAACACCCCACACAGACACTTCCACACCCCTCACTGCACACCATCAACATGTAGCATGAACTGCACTTTAACCAATCCATACTTGAAACAATGCTGCCTACAGCTATGGTTACACCTATTCATTGACCATATCGCTGTCAACACTGCCAATTTTAGATTGCCCTGTATTTTTGGGAGTATGCTGTTGTATTTTGCACTGTCTGGAGCCAGCACCTAAGCTTTTCACTCATCATAGCACACGTGCTGCAGATAATGTGACAATAAAAGTGATTTGATTTGACTTTTAAGATGTAGTATAAATACACGAATTGGGACGCACCATAAATATATAAAAACTAGACAGAAATGTGTTCACAAAATTAAAAACAAACCGAAATGTTCAGCAAATGTAAAAGTACTGTTGAAATACAAACTGCATAACAATAATAACCTTCACTTATATATATATATATATATATATATATATATATATATATATATATATATATATATATATATATATATTATATATATTAATTGCATTTACTTTTATTTACATTTAAAGTGTGTGCAAACAATTTACATGGGCTGAATTTAAACAAACTCTTAAATTAAATTAAATTAAATTAAATTAAATTAAATTAAATTAAATTAAATTAAATTAAATTAAATTAAATTAAATTAAAGTGATGTCCGACTTTTTCCCAGAGATGGGTTGCAGCTGGAAGGGCATCCACTGCGTAAAAACTTGCTGGATAAGTTGGCGGTTCATTCCACTGTGGCAACCCCAGATTAATAAAGGGACTAAGCTGACAAGAAAATGAATGAATGAATGAATGAATAATGTCCGACTTCATTTGTTTGTTTAAATTCAGCCCATATAAATTGCTTGCAATCACTTTCCTTAAAAGAATTTAATAAATCCAATGAATCTTTTTTTGTCTTGTTTACACTGATTCTGGACCAGTTTCCTGACCAGCAATCCAACTCACAATTGTAAGATCAAAACAAAGAGCCTGTCTCAAACCCAGCGCTGGCGGGAAACTGTGCTTGGAGACGGAGGTCGAAGGTCAAGTTCCAATTAAAGCTCTGAGTGTTTTTCTCACCCCCTACTATGGCAACCTCGCTGGCAGATAAAGAGTGAACACTTCTTAGTGTGCTGACTATGAGACAATGACTCAGATCATTGGAGGCCCAAGATAAGGAGCCCAGAATAACTGAGCCGTCTTAACTTTAAAGCATGAGTAAACATTTCTGTGAAATCTGAAGCCACGCGCCACTATCTGCACTATACGCGGCTGTTGCAGCACCATATATGCAGGAAAATACAGGAGTTTCTGGATTAGAGACATGACTTGGAGAATCAGCAAATTTAGTCAATTTTAGGGTTTGACCTAATATAAAAAAACAAAGTGATAAAAATACTGTGAAATAAATGAGATTACATAACATGATTGATTGATTGACAAATAAATATCTAAATAAACAAATAAATAAATAGATAAACAGATACATAAATGAATAAATAAATGAATAAATAAATTGATTAATAAATAAATAAGAAATGGATGGATGGATGGATGGAAAGCTAAATAAATGAACAAATAATTAAAATAAATAAATAAATGGATAAATAAAATAAATTAGATAGATAAATAAATAAAAAAATAAAAAATAAATG